TAACCGAGACCCATAAGGAGAAATATTGTATGTTCTCACTCATAAGTGGATTCTAGCTATAAACAAAGGACATTGAACCTATAATTTATGATCCTAGAGAAGCTAAATAAGAAGGTAAACCCAAAGAAAAACATATATTTACTTTTCTGGATATTGGAAGTAGACAAGAACACTGGGCAAAAGTTGGCAGCATGGGGGTGGGGGTGGGATGGGAGAAGGGGAGATGGGGAGAGAGAAGGGAGAAGGGGGGATTGGGGAGATCTTGGGGAAATAAGATGGTTGAGGTGGTGGAAGGGTGGATATGGGAGCAGGGAAGAAATTATCTTAATTAAGGGAGCCATTTAGGTTTGGCAAAGGACTTGGCTCTAAAGGGTATCCCAGGTGTCAAAGGGGATGTCCCCAGCTAGGTCCTTGGGCAGTAGAGGAGAGGGTTCCTGAACTGGCCTTATCCCATAGCCACACTGATGAATATCTTGCATATCACCATAGAACCTTCATCCAGTGATGGATGGAGATAGAGACAGAGACCTACATTGGAGCACTGGACTGAGTTCCCCAGGTCCAGATGAAGAGCAGAAGGAGGGAGAATATGAGCAAGGAAGTCAGGACTGTGAGGGGTGAGTCCACCCATGGAGACGGTGTGACTGATTTATTTTGAGCTCACCAAGGCCAGCTAGACTGGGACGAAATGAGCATGTGATCAATCTGGACTCTCTGAATATGGCTGGCAATGGGAGCTGACTGAGAAGCCAGTGATAATGGCACTGGGTTTTGATTCTATTGCATGTACTGTTTTTTTTTGGGAGCCTAGTCTGTTTGGATGCACACCTTCCTAGACCTGGATGGAGGGAGGAGGGCCTTGGACTTCCCAGAGGGCATGCCATCCAGATTTCTCTTAGGAGAGAGGGGAAAAGGGAGGGAGAGTGGCAGGGTAATGGGAGGAGGAGAGGAGGTGGAAATTTTTAATAAATAAATTTTAAAAAAAGAAAAAAAATAAGGTCAAATTTGTTATGTGCATATTCTGATCTGGATTAAGATATTGTGTTTGTACAGTTCATTTGAAATTTTAATGTATAATTTGAAAATACAGGTTAATAGATAGTTATCTATAATTGTCAAGCTTGTAACCATGTTGGTTAGGTTTTCTAGTTGTACAGAGATATATTTCAGATTGATAGTTATTCTTCAAATCTTCCAAGGACTAACAGAATATGTCATTTAAATATTTTAAAAATTTGGAACTTTTCACAACAATAAGACACATCTGCTCCTGGCTGCATTAATTACTTCAAGATGAAGATGAACATTGAAGAGACTCCTTATGGAGTTTGCTAGTCATTTGTGCAAGAAACTGATCTTGCCTGAGATGCTTGATGTTAGGCTGTATAAACTAGACATAAAGGGCCCACAAAATGACTATTGGAATTGCCTAAAGGTGAGAGGGTCCTTTGGGGTTCCATTTCATGAGAGAGTCTGCCAGACATTCTAGAGGATACAGAAGAAAGGGGCTGACAAACTGCCAATACAGATGTAACTGTCTTTCAAATTTCCTGTTTAGTAAAAAAGTCTGCCAGATACTATGGACCTTTAGGCTAAAGATAGGTGCTCCAGTGTTACTGAAGAACTTTCAGTTAAGTCCAGGCAGCATGATGTCTCTATCAATTCTAGAGTCCTAGAAGTTTCTTAAAATGCACTTTCTGTTTACTTAGGTAATACATCCTTCTGGAGTCTAAGTTGCAGTTTAAAAATAGTGACAGTTTTCTTAGTTATGATAAAAAATAAAGTATATGCAAACATTGTAACTGTAATTCTTGCTTGAAAATTGTTTTGTTAAATGTAACTTTTCTATATTAAAGTTAAAACTTTCCTTTTTATTTAAACTGAAAAGGGAAATGGTGTGCAATGTGCTTCTATATATGTGTTGCTTTTATTGGATACTGAATAAAGCTGCTTTTGGCCAATGACTTAAGAAAGTAAGCAAGGTAGGAAATCCAAATAGGTTTAGAGAAAAAGTAGGCAAAGTCATGCCTAAAAGTGCCATATTCTTTCTTAATGATAGAAATGGAGAGGAAAACTGAGTCCCAATCACCAACAAATTGAAGTATCACCTTAACCAAATATGCTTCACATAATACAATCCATAGTATTAGCAAAAAGGTTACTAAAAGTTTCAATATTAATGTAGTCTGACATATTGATTTATTAATTACCTGTTGTGTGATTTGATGAACTGTAATCTTTATTGTTCAGCATATGGTGTGGTTGCAGAGATTTTACTAGAAGCAATGCAACCAGTGGTGACAGAAATGGTCGTGTGTTGCTTCAATTTCCAAGCCACTTTAGTTTTCCTCCTTGGTACTGCTCAAATACTGAGAAATATGTTTTGCTTGACAAATTAAAAGCAATTAAGTCAATTCCATACACAAAGCTAGAAAACCAGAACCCACAGGCAGGGAGCAGTAACAAGAGCTTTACATTTTGCCATGTGGCAAGGAACCACACCAGGGAACATGGCAGTGATGCACGAACTTGGGAAATTTCCAAGTTTCACATGCAGTACACTCTGCTGTGGTGGGCTCCACAAAAAACATCTTAGGTAAAAGCAAGCCAAGCAGAGATGTAGGGAGACTGTCTGGGCCATGGACCAGCTAGGCCATTAGGCTGTACACCCAATAGGCATGGAGTCTGAATCCATGTGATGGCCAAATGAAGATAGATGCTTAAAAGAAATCCCATACTAGCTCAGAATTGAGAAATAGATGGTTGTTTAATTAGGGGTAGACTCACAAATCAGAATCCTTTGCTTGAATGGAGATCAGAAACTGGATCCTGAAGCTGGAAATAAGAGGCCTGACACATGCTCTACATTGGAATATATAGTACAAGAGGCCACACACAGGGGGCAGGTAACTGTTGCCTGAGGTTTCTGTCCTGTCTGGTTTCTGTCCTCCTACCAGTGTAGTAGGAGCTGCGGGCTGCATTCCTGCCACCCAGCTCCCGGCCACCTGGGTAGTTAAAACCCTAAAATAACCACACACAAACTCTATTCATATAAACACTGCTTGGCCCATTTCTATTAATGTGTATAGTACCATGAGGTGGGCTTACCAGGAAGATTCTAGTCTCTGTCCATTTTGGGTGGGAGCCTCATCACATCTTCCCTGGAGAGGAGAGGCATGGCGTCTGAGCTCACTTCCTTTTCCTCCCAGCATTCTGTTCTGTTTACTCTGCCCATCTATGTTCTAACCTATCAGGCCAAGCAGTTTCTTTATTAATTAACCAATGAAATAACAGATTGATATGACACTCCCACATCATACCAGGTCCCAGAACCATTTAGCCCCAAAGAAAATAAACAGAGATCTATATTAATGATAAGTTGATTGACCCATTAGCTCAGGCTTCTTATTAACTCTTATAACTTATGTTAAGCCATTATTCTTCTCTATGTTAGCCACACGGCTTGGTACCTCTTTCAGCAGGTCAATTACATCTTCCTTCTTTGGTGTTTGGACAGGACCAGTGAGGAATGGGCTTTCTACCTCCCAGAATTCTCCTGTTCTCATTGTTCCGCCTATAATTCCTGTCTGAATATTTTTAAAAGGAAACTTTTTCCATTACCTCCTTTGTTCATTTCATGTAAAACTCATTTTGTCCCAATCCAAATTCTGCCTATAGATTGGGGTTGCATCTTGTTAAGGGATTTGTCTGTTACCATAATCTTTCTCTAAGGCATAGCTTAGCCTGGCCAGGGATATGTGTTCCGTTCTGTGAACCCTAACTTCAACAACTTCTACAATTGGTGTTTCTCTTTCTTACAGTCAGAAGATTTAGTCATTCTAAAGAAGGAGACTGTTAAAGTACTTGCAAGCAATTCAGAACAGGAATAGATGATAACTTTAAGAAGGAAACTGTGCTCATACACAATCTGTGTAACCTAATAATGATGAAAACTATGATTTAGGGCTGGGTGTGTCTCACCCCTTTAATTCCAGGATTAGGAAGGCAGAGGCAGATAGATCTCTATTACTTTGAAGCCAACCTGGAATCCACAGTGAGTTCGAGGACTTCCAGACCTACATAGAAAGACCCTGTCTCAAAAAATTATATAATTATACAACAAGTGAATGTGTACATGAATCCTAGATAAGGATAAATTACTGTATCAATTTTAGATGTTCTGAGTGTGATCATTTGAATATGGCTGTATAAGATAAATTGTTGTCCCTTGAAAATATTTAGGAACAATTGTGACTCAATTTTGTATTTTTTTTTTGTTTGGTTATATGACATAGGCTCTCACTGTATTCATTTTGGCCCCCAGAAATTTTGTCTTAACATCCTAATTGCTAAGATTACATGTGTAAGCCACTATATCTAGCCATCTTCAAATATTACCACCATCTCTATAAAGCCTTAACAAATGATAGATGGATTAAACAAGAGTGGGTAGAACAACTGAAGCCTTAGATAAAATATTGTCAGCAATTCCTTCAAGTATCCTTGTATTTGTTCACCAAATTTGAAATTATATTTGATGGCCAAAAGAAATATTTATACCATTGAAGAAACCTTTTACATGAAACAAAATACACAAAACAGAACAGAAATCAACTAACAACTAAGAAACTGAAAGCCAAACTACATTGTAGTTCTTAATTACACTTTCAATCAAGATGATTTATGCTATTGATAATAAAAACTCAGACTGTTAATTAGGGATCTGTATTTAGTCCTATGGGTATGTAAGAAAATAGAAAGTGTAGATTCTTCAGGGACTTGGCATAATGGGGTGTGCATGTATCTAAGAAGATGTACTCCTCCAGGAAGAAAGATGGCCTCTGCTCTGTCAAATCAGATTCAGAAGAATGTTTTCAACCTCTTCCAGCACATCTCTCCATTTGCACAGAGGTCAAAATCCTGGAATCAAAACACTTTATCATAAGGAATCACAGATTATTACAGGAAGCAAATAAAAATCAACACTTCCCATTTTAACTTTACTTCTTTCTGGAGGGTGAATTGGGGAATTTATCCATTCTCATCTCACAGATACAGGGGTAATGATCTTCACACTTAGTATCATCCAGTCTTGTTCTAGATAAAAATGCACATCTTCCAGGTTTAAGACTGAGATTTGCTATTTTCGAGTCACTAAAGAACAAAAACAATGGGCATTGTTTAATTTCGAGCAGTCACTGAAATATCATGGTTTTTAAATTCTATATGAAGTACATATATGAAGAATATGGCAGCTATTACTATGTGGGAAAATGATCTGTACCCTGTCTCTTGTATTTTAAATGAATTCTGTTTGACTAGTAGCCAGGAAGGAAGTATAGGCAGGGCGACCAGGCAGGAAGCAGAGGTGGTGCACCAAGGATTCTAGGAATAGGAGAGAGCCAGTCTGCAGTCATCATCCATAGGCAGAGGAAGTAAGATGTGACAGCCTGGCTAAAAACGGTACCTGACCATGTGGCTAACACAGACAAGAATTATGTGCTAATATGTTATACGAGTTAATAAGAGGCCTGCGCTAATAGGCCAATCAGTTGATAATTAATATTGACCTCTGTGTTATTTCTTTGGGACTGAATAATCGTGGACCCTGGTGGAGAAGAAACCTTGGTCAACATTACTCTACTATTCTATATGAAGAATGTGGAAACTATTGCTTATAATTTCATCAGTAAAATGTTTTATATCTAAGCTCATTAATAAGAAATGGTCTCTTGGTCATACCAAAATTTCTCTTATCCCACGCTCACAACTTTTGGTCATGGCCAAACCTGATTTTCAATATATCCAAGGAATTATATTATGCTAAATCTGCTTTCCCACTTACATTTTGTCAGTTAATGGCTATGTAGAAACAATAGTGTGTAGCTCATGGAACAATTCCTCATTTGCTTGTGCCTTAGGGAAAAAAGGATATTTGTAGTACAGTCCCAGATGAGGGTTTGTAACTAATGTTTTGGGCTGTTTTCCCTTTCTTTTCCCCCCACCTGCCACCACTTCACAGTTAACAGTCCTTCACTAAAGCATAGTCATCTACTGAATTCTCTGCATGTATAGGACCCTGATTTCTGCAGGATAATAGATTAGAGTCCATAACTCCCCTTTTGCAAAGAAGAAAATATTAAATGCTGCAAAATAAAAAAATATTAAAAAATTAGAAAACATAGCAATTAGTAAATGTGCTAAAATGGAAAGACTGTGAGTTCCAGTTCAACCTGGGTTATGTAGCAAAACCAGAAGTCAAAAAGAAATTCATTAATAGCATCCTGTAAAAAACCTGCAGAAATCAGATCCTACTCAGGCTGAGTGATAAAGGAGGGTCATTTGTCTATGTGTTACTGTCATTGATTAATAAAGAAACTGCCTTGGCCCTTTGATAGGACAGAAAATTAGGTAGGCAGAGTAAACAAACAGAACAGAATGCTGGTAGGAAGAAGGCAAGGAGGTAGACAATATAGCTCTCTTCTTCAAGATGGATGCAGGTTAAGATCTTTGCCGGTAAGCTCCACCTCGTGGTGCTACACAGATTACAAAATATGGGTTAAAGCAAGATGTGAGAATTAGCCAGAAAGAGGTTGAAACTAATGATCCAGGCAGTGTTTAAATGAATACAGTTTAAGTACAATTATTTTGGTTAAAGCTAGCCGATGACCAGGAGCTGGGCAGTGGGAAGTGGCCTGCAGATCCTGCTACAGCTGAAGTTTTAGCAGGAGTTTGAAACAATTTTATACATTAACTACAAAAAAGTCAAGTGAAAGTTTTAAATATTCGTGCTCATTGTATCTGTCAGCATGATCCAGTCATATCATGTCTTTCATATTCTGTAGTCCTTGCAAGGTTTGAAGAATGCCTATCCATCTGAAATACATTCTGTATTTCTAGAAATCCTAACTAACATGACTACAAGCTTGACTATTATAGATGATTATCTATTAACTTATATTTCTTAATTATACATTACCGTTTTAAATGAGCTACACAAACCCAATAACTTAATGAAGATCAGAAATACATATATATACAACAAAATTGACCTTACCTTTGTATCAATAAACCAAGATTCATAGCAATGCAAATTATTCATATCTATATTAAACAGGGACTGTGCTTCCATTTTTCAGCTGCCCAGACACAATCATTTAGAAACTAAATTAATTATAATACTGTTTGGTAATGTCTTAGAATTCTCACTACTTAACACTATTAAATTAATGCATTTCTATTAGTCTGTGTATTGCTACAAGTCTATGGGTTACTGGTACAATATGTTACTCCTTCAGCAGCTACATGGCATCTTTCTCTAACTGTTCAGATTTGCCACATGGCTTTACTCTGCTAAGCCATTGACCAAAATATCGTTACTCATTAACTAATAAAGGTAACACATATCACACGCAATCCTCGCAATTCATGTACCACTATTAGTGTGTGAGTGTTCAGGAAACGCACAGGTTAGATGGGCCATTGTCAATCCATTGCCATTTGCTTTTTCCTGTATCATACGATAATCCAATCCAGTAAGTGTTTGGATTCACTTTGACCTGAAGGAACTTCTATAAAGGAAAAGACAAATCTTATGATAGAATTTCATTCTGTTTCAGAAAAAGAACAACATAACACATCTTAGCTATTTGTTTGTCAGTTCTCTGTTGTCCTTTCCTCCAATCTATCAAAGTTCATTTTTAAAGTAATTTCGCACTAGTGGCTAATTTGTATCAAAACCAATCAACTCCATAATTTATTTTAAAAAGAAATCAGGTACTAAAGATACTGGATTCACGAAATGATTTGTGACTGTGTTTCTTAGAGAAAGTCTCACTGTGGAGCCAAGGCTGTGCTTGAATTCACAATCTCCCTTATTCAGACCCCTAAATGAACATGGCATAGCAGCTTCATACGTAATTCTGAAATTATGAAAGCATTCAAAAGCACCTTTGACTATAGTCAGTCCTGCCAATGAGACATGTATGGATAAGGGTGGCCTAGAATTTATAGGAATGGCTAAAGCTGGTCCACCCTAAGATCCTAAACTACCAGGAGTACCAGGATTCACTTGCTGGACCACCAGGACCCCAGAGACCAAGGATAGAATCAGACAACTGAAGAAAAAAATGTCAATGAAATGATGCCTAATAATATTTACAATACTCAAAGACTGATTCCTAGCCCAGTTGTCTTCAAAAAACCTCATCCAGCAACTGATGGAAATAGAAACAGAGACACTCAACCAAACTTTAGACCAAGCTCCTGATAATGAGAGGGGGAGAGAGGAATCAAAGGGATCAAGGACTTCAGAAAAGAAGTTACAGAATTAACTACCCTTTACACATGAAAGCTCCTGTGTCTGAAGAGACAACTAGGGAGCCTGCATAAGACTTACTATACTCTTCATATGGCGCAGTTGTGTAGCTTGGTCTTCTTGTGGGACATCTGACAGTGGGAGCACAGGCTGTCTCTAACTCTGTTGTTGGGCTTTGAGACTCTATTCTTTATATTGGTTCACATTTCCCAGTCTTAATACAGAGGAGACAGGGGTGTTTGTTCTTACTGCAATTTGGTATGACAATTTTTTTTGTTGATTCTTTGGGAAGGCTACTTTTTGCTGAACAGAAATGGAGTGGTAAAGGATTGGGGGTAGAAGTCAGGATGAAATGCCAGGAGAGGTTGGGAGGAGAGGGAGGAGGAAAAAGAGCAAACAGGAAGTAAACAAATATTCTAAAGTTGAAAAATTCTGTGTGAAAAGCTGTACATTATAATCCATGCTTCAGAGACAAAGCCATTCTGTGACAGAATTTGAAGAAGAAAGAGGAAGATATTTGGAAATATTTAATGTACTTTACAGGTGACATCGCAATGGAAAGATTACTAAAATTACTAAATATATTGGCATAATATTTTTAGATTATCTACATTTTCTATGTAAAATGGAAAATTATGCAGTTATATTAAATTGAAACACATTCTGTACTGTAATTATTCAAACTTGTAAATAAATTGCAAAGGTTTCAAGCTGATCCTGCAACTGTTTCTCCAGAAAAATATCCTCTTTGTATTTGGATACATTTCTTTAGTAATAAATATAAACAGAAAATATCAGGTCCTTGATCATTTTGTTCTTTTAAATACACATTTTCAGAGATAGACATCATTTTTAAAATAGGAGAATTTTATGAAGTAAATATTATGGCCAGATTCAATGAAAATCACAATGGGACTATCTAGTTAAAAGCATTATTACGTGGATCTTATGTAATTTCCATTTTGAAAATGGACCTATTTTGGGGAACCTTCCCCAACCTCCTCGGTTATGGATGACCCTGGGTAGTGCCGCAAAAATCAGGACACAGGGGATGCAGAGCAGGAGATACAATTGCATATTTTAATGCAAAACCAGTGTTCTTTTTATAATACTAAAATCATGATTCAAACTAGGTTCCCATAATACATGAAAATAGTTTCATAGAATAATCACTTAGTTGCAACTAGTTTCGAGGGCTTTGTGCCCTAGCTAATCTAATCAAAAAGCTCGGTGTTATGGGAATAAATCTTGTTGTAATCTAATATATAAAAACACCTCATCAGAAGACAAACCACAACCTAAGCAGAGCCTTTGAACTATAGTGCACATCTGTGCTCTCAAGGACTGATCATTGGCAAGGCACTCTACTGATGGGAGAGGTTTGCCTCCTCCCAACTTGGTTTGCCAAGCCTATCAGCAAAAATGCTACCTCAAGTCTCCCTTGCACAGAGTTTCTACGCAGTTCAAAACCAGCCCTCTACAGGTCCAGAAGTCAGTTAATTTCTCTATTGTCATCTAACTGCTCACTACAGACACTTCTGGACTCCAAGGAGCAAGCACTAAGTTCCAGGTAATGGTGTAACTGTCTCTCTGGGAATAAAGGAATTTCAGTCACTGGATATTCTATACCAAAGGGTTAAACTTATTCAGGGAAAACATGATTTTCTGAGAAATTTTCTTGCAGATTCTTGAGAAAAGGAGGAGATAGCAAAGACGTGGTTGTCTCTCAATATTGTGTTTCTTTGTCAAAGATGCTCTTTCCTGACACTAAGCCAGGAGCAGGATTGAGTTTCAGGGGAGACTTTTACTGCAGTTTTTCACATATTACTGGCAAACCATATAAAATCTTGAAGGTTTTACCTTCAAAACCATGCTTGCCCTTGGTATGCCACTATTCAAGGGTTAGAGAAACACTCCCAGAGAATAGAAAAGCATGGAAGAGTCTACAGTACCAGTTCATCATCATCGTATATCTTCAAAAGGGACAAACTATAGTCCTGGCAGGTCTGTTTACATCCACTCCAGTCTTGTTTGTCCATGATGAAATAACATTTTATGCCAGAGCAGAACCAGTATCCGTCTACATATTTGCCTACAACAGAGAAGGTAATTAAACTTCTTAATTTCTGGCATGATATTATTAGAGAAATGCATTTATTAAGCCTCTATAACTAAGAAAATTATCTCAGCTCTCAGAAATTGAGATTCTAGGATGCAGAGAGTCTCCTGTACATACATGCTTTATGCTATTCATAACAGTAGAGATTTGGAAATAGCTGATGTGTCCATTGTGGATAAATCAGTACAAAAAATATAGCAGACACACACAAAGGAATACTGTTTATCTTTTAAAGAGAAGTAAATCTGCTGAGCATGTTGGTTTATGCCCATGCCCTGAGCACTCCAGAGAGTGAGATAGGAGGGTTGCCAGCAGTTTGAGGCCAGAATAGGCCAAGTAGTGATAACTTCCATACTAGCCTTGTCTATAAAGTAGATTCTAAGACAACCTTGGCTACAGAATGAGCCTCAACACCTCAACAGCACCAATACAGACGAGGACCACCGTGACAAACATATATGAACTTGAGCATGGTGTGCAAAATGAAACAAGCCAGACCCAGGACCAAACTTTATGACTCAACTCAGATGAGGGTGCTAACACAGCCCAAGTCTAAGAAACAGAGCTGTGTAGTCAGGAGCTTGAGGGTGGAGAACAAACACTGGCTGTTCAAAGGCTGTTGCAAACATGACAGGATTCTAGATTAATATTAATGCCCTGTGCCCACACTGGTTCAGACATACTGTACATTTAGTGTTGTGCTGTGTTCTATTATCAATGCTCTTATTTTAAGAGATATGAGACATATGAGAAAGCTTGTGAAGGTGATAGTCTGTTCTGATTATATTGATGCATTCAATGGTACACCCATAACCCAAACATGTCAGGTGGAAAACAATGAAATGTGTGCAGTTTGTATAACAACACCTCAGTCCAACTGTTTTGTTTATTGAGGGTATGGGGCTGGCCATGTTCTATTAAGGAACTTTTAACTTTAATCTTTGTTTTCCTATAAAGAGGTATCATTGTGTAGCTCAGGCTGGCCAGGAATTTGTTGGGCTGCATAGATTGTTCTCAAATTTACAATCTTCTTTCCTCAACCTCCTAAGTACAGGAATTACAGTGTTAAAATGCCATTTATAGATATTTTTAAAAAAATTAATGGCACAAAATATTTTCATGGGTCTGAAATATTTCAAAGTTTTTTGGACTTTTTCTTTTCCTGTCATATATGTTAATAATGTAGCAATTTTAAAGATATCATTAGCACTTTCATAATAAAATAGTCAACACTTTCTATTAAAGTACAGTAGGATCATATACAAAAGCTCTTTGTAAACTTTAAATCCTGAACAGTTACTTAGTAATTATTGATTGGTTGTATCAAAGATAACCAGTCATGTTGTAAAATAAAAAAAAAAAACTTCATACCACTAGATACATTTATCTTCTGGGTATCATTAATAGTGTTAGAAATAGAGGTATATGAATGAAATGAAATGAATGAATTAAAATAAGAGCATTGATAATAGAACACAGCACAACACTAAATGTACAGTATGTCTGAACCAGTGTGGGCACAGGGCATTAATATTAATCTAGAATCCTGTCATGTTTGCAACAGCCTTTGAACAGCCAGTGTTTGTTCTCCACCCTCAAGCTCCTGACTACACAGCTCTGTTTCTTAGACTTGGGCTGTGTTAGCACCCTCATCTGAGTTGAGTCATAAAGTTTGGTCCTGGGTCTGGCTTGTTTCATTTTGCACACCATGCTCAAGTTCATATATGTTTGTCACGGTGGTCCTCGTCTGTATTGGTGCTGTTGAGGTGTTGAGGCTCATTCTGTAGCCAAGGTTGTCTTAGAATCTACTTTATAGACAAGGCTAGTATGGAAGTTATCACTACTTGGCCTTGTGAACAGCCATGGTGAAACCCCATGTGAGCTTCAGGGATGGTATCTTTGTCACAAACAGACCAATTTCCTCATAACAAGACAGAAGACACACACACACACACACACACATAGTTATTTCTATGATTATATCCATCTAAATGCTCTATGTTCGTTTTAACATAAATATTTTGTAAATAAACTCTTAATAAAAAGTTCATGCTCCTACAAGAACAAAGTTGAATACTCAGATTTTCCCATAAACAAAAATGACCTAAATTCTTAGCTGTGATGAATTGTAATTCTGTGCACTGATAGCAGTAGGAGCACCATATGACCCCTGAGTTCTAGAAACTGTAAGATTTTCCTGCTCCAAACATGGATTTCCAGGGTTCCATACCCCTACATGAAATAAAGAAACTTCAACCATTAACCCACAGATCACCAGTGTTAAAAGTGGCTAACAGGACTTTAATCTTCTGGAGAAGAGTCAGTACAGAATAGTGAAATTCTTTATTCAAGATCCCCTCCATGCCGGGCAATGGTGGCGCATGCCTTTAATCCCAGCACTCGGGAGGCAGAGGCAGGCGGATCTCTGTGAGTTCGAGACGAGCCTGGTCTACAAAGGGAGTTCCAGGACAGGCTCTAAAGCCACAAAGAAACCCTGTCTCGAAAACCAAAAAAAAAAAAAAAAAAAAAAAAAAAGAAAAGAAAAGAAAATAGAAAGATCCCCTCCATACCTCTGAGCTGTATGCAGTCGAAAACTTTACTTTCCCCACAGCATCTGTTCTTTTCTCTGTTGGAGGAGTCAAGTTCCTTCTGAGGTTTGAAGTCATCAAGCTCTCTAGACTTATTTCTCAGCATTTCTTTTATTAAGGAGTTGTTACTTTGCAGGATGTGATACTGTTGAGTGAGGCTGTTTAGAGTTTTCTGCAGTTCATGGTTGTTTCCACTATCCTGAGAAACTAAGATTAAGAGCAGATATAACACCAAAAAAAATGATCATTTTGAATAAGGATTGAAATTTAAGATTAGAAAAAAAGCTTCATCTTGTCACCAACATATGTCATTATTTTAAATTGTACTTTAAAGTTGAGAAGTATCACATCAATTAATTATAGAAATTGAGGTTGTTTAGAGTTTTTTGCACTTTGTGTTTTTCTTGACTATACTGGAAAACTAATGTTAGTAGTAGATATAATACAAAAATGCTTATAAGGAGTAAATATTGAAATTTAAGGTTAGAGAAAATCTTCATGTTGACAATCAGCATATATCATTACTTTAATTGCTATTTTGATGCTTAAAAAGCAACACTTCAATTACCCCACTGTAAGCATGGAAACATGAACTTGTCACTATTGTCTGCTTCAATGCAAAATACATGAAATATCTAATAATATTATTGTATAAGCAGCTTAGTTTTTGACTACTTCATTTTTCACAACAAAAGGCTAACAAACAAATATTTAAGCAAAATAGCAGAAGCTAACACAGCATGAAAATTTGAACTAAGAAACATGAAGTAATACCACAGTTAATATTGGAGCAGATGGAGTACCCACATGAGAAGAGACAATGATATGCAGATTTCTATTTTTGTTAGAGCTTAATCCATCTGTGCTTTTCTCTAAGGATGTGAGTACATCAAACAAAAGATAAAGCTGAAATTTTAGAAGTTCTGTGTACAGATTTCTTCTTTTCACTTAACCATGATCTCAATATAAGCTTGTGAAAGAAATCCATAAAACAACATAATTTGTTTCATTCTGCTACTTTTAGAGTTTGTCTATGTCAGATTCTTAATCATCAGAGCTCAGAAAGCAGAATATCAGCAACACATGTATTATTACAGGGGATATTATCATGAGTAAGGCAGAATAAGTCCAAGGCAGCCCCAGAGTCACTGTAATGCCAAGGGTTCAGGAGTACAGGGGAAAACAAAAAAACTTACAAACTCCAGGTCACCTGGAATATCATCTGTTGACACACAAATAATGGCCAAAGTATGATCTCTGTGGCATAATTAGTGTCTATTCGCATTACCTAGGCAAATAATGTATGCTAATTACTCACTGTTTGTCAGCCACACTGCCATTGCCAGCATCAGAAGTAAGCAAAGGAACCCGAAAGCCACTGCAATGAGATGTAAGGAGATTGTAAGAGATATAACTCTAAAGGCACCAGAACTGGCAAGAGAATCATCACCAGGACCATCCCATGGTTCACCACTAGCTATAAGCTGGAGCTTCATATGAAAAAGAGATGATAAACTCTAATGTTTTAAGCAAAATTCTAGAATACAAACTAGCTCCTACACCTAATGTTCAGGGAGTAGTTAAGAGAAGAGGACTAGAGATTGTAAAATACAGAGACTCAAGTGGGGAAGCTGCAATCAGTAATCTCAAAAGTAGCAAAACGTAAGCAAAACATGCCCAACACCAACACCAGAGGACATGCCAATAAGGTCAGGGGAAATCTCCATACAACCCCACTCCTAGATGAAGAACTATATGCAATTGATGACAGGTGAGAAAGAAAATAAATCTTTTCTAGAATGAGCCCATAATTGGATATCTAATACCAAGTTGTCAGCTCTAAAATATATGTATGTGAACAGCATTAAATGGAATGACAGACTGCATATATAAGCACATGTAAACATGTAAGTAATTATTAAAGACAAAAAAACAATACTGCCAATACATCAAAGTAGAGTGTTAGAAGGTACTGAAATATTAACAGGGAAAAGGTATCAGGATATAATAATAATGGATAAAGATGATCAGTAAATTATATGCATATAGAAAAGTCATAATGAAACTCTTTATTTTATATAATTAATAAATTGTAATAAACTCTAAAAAGTTTAAGTTTTCAATTTCTGGATGGTATACAACTATTCAGTTTATACTTTATGTAGAGAAGCAGTTCATTAGGACTTCAGATAATTTTTGAGATTCAGCCTTGAACTCTCAGTCTCCCTGACTCAGTCTCACAGGAAGCTGGAATGACAGGTTTGAACTGCCTCATCCAGGCACACACAGTTTGTTTATCTTACAAAGCACTGAAGGCATCAGCAAGATCCCGCTAGAAAGCTCCAAACTGTTATTAGCAGCCCACTAAGATATCACAACTCAGGATGAAGAGGAAGGAAAATTCAACCTTGAGAAACTGGTAGACAGTATAAAAATTCTGAACTCCATAAGGTTTCATCATAAAAGAATTCCTAGAAGTCGGCTCTTTTCCTTTCTATCAATTCTGTTTTTCTCAGAAAAATAAGATATTTATCCTTGCGATTTGAGGTCTTGGGTTCTAGGGTCCCATATCTCATTATCATCACACTAATGTAACAGAAGTGTTCAGATTAGAGGTTAAATGGGACAAATTTGAAGGACAAGAAAAAGAGATCAAAGAATTTAGACCTCTCTTCCGACCTGAGTGTTAATGCTGATGATTGGCATTGAAGTTTGATGAAACACTTGGAATATCTTGTTAAGTAAGAGCTTTGTTTTAAATACATTTTCTTTTCTTTTCTTTTCTGTTCTTTTTTGAGACAGAATTTCTCTGTAGGTTTAGAACCTGTCCTGGAACTAGCTCTTGTTGACCAGGCTGGCCTCGAACTCATGGAGATCTGCCTGCCTCTGCTCCAGTGTGCTGAGATTAAAGGCATGTGCCACCACTGTTTGGCTATACTTTTCATTTCTTTAAGATTTATACCTTTAATAATTTCAGTGTTCCTCAGACTGTAGTTTCTCTTTTTTAAAGGCTTCATGTTTTAAATCATATTTTGATAAAATTAACTAAAACCTGATGGTTTCTAAAATTTATAAAAATGTATTCAAGACATGCTAGGTGGCTCACAACTGTAATCCCATACTTTGAGAGGCTGAGCTAGGAGAATCAAGGATTCTGGGCTACCCTTTGACATATAGCACAATTGAGATTGGTCCTGGTTACATGAGACCCTGACTCAGGTTAAAAAAAAAAATAGAAAACTAACAGAGGCAGAATAAATAATTGATTTTTCCACTCTCAAAGGTTATAATTTTTAAAAGCTTTTAAATCTTCACTTCTTCCCGCAGTGATCTCCTATTACCAGCTGACTATCAGCAGTAAGCCTGGTTTTCAATGTCTGGTGTGTACAGTGTCTAGAAAGAGAGCTCTCACCTTTGTGGCCAACCTCTCTGGAACCTTGAGTCTCATCCTGACTGGCTGGACTCTGGGATTCTGAAGTAGATTCAAAAACTCTCGAGTTTGAATATATCTCCTGCTGATTTCTCATCTTGAAAGGAAACAATGAAGGTTTATATTAAAACCTTTTCTTGGGATGATGTGTAAGTAAAAACAAATTAAAATGTCCAAATTTAAAGCATTCCAGAATTTTATGCTTGGGTAGGGTGGAAGGTTTTGTTTTTTTTTTTTAACTCCTTTAAGGGTTATAATGCTATAAAGATTTTGGAAGGCGGCTGCCTTCCCCGATATAAGATAAAACTTTTGAACTAGTGGTCACATCAATGATTGCTAGGAGGTATGGGAAAATACCTGAAATTTCCAAATAAAGACTGGGTAGTAACATGGCCATAAGAATGTTAGACAAAATTGGTGCCAGCTAAGTAACTGACATATTTTAAAATTATCATCAACACATAAAAACTGAAAACTTGCTTAAAGCCAAATCTCTTTGCTTTTAAAGCTTTTGTAAATGTTGTGATACTCACATGGATATAAAATGATCTTGTCTTCTTTTGACCACACTTACAAAGTGCATACCAGAAAGAATGTCCAAAAGCTTATATGAAAGGAATAGTATAAGAAATTAAAATTTCAGATCCCAAATGTGATAATTAAACTGTCCAGAGAAAAAGCCAAAACACCTGTATTCAATATTGCCAATGATTCCATGGAAATGAACATTCCACAAAGAATATTATAATTTTTCAACAGGGGTACCTGCCTTTTGTCCCAGTACTTGAGAATCTGAGGCAAGAGGATCTCTGAGGCCAGAACACGTAGATATCAAATTTTCAAAGAGATAGAACTGCAGAAGAATTCTGTCTCAAAAAATAGAAAGAATGAAAATTTGTCAGTAAACATCATAAATGCTCATAAATTATTTGTTCTTAGGAAATTAATTAATATTAAAAATGGTTTATGGACTCTATTTATTTCTAGTATATCTAGCACACTTTCGTTGATAAAAATTTCTAAACTCATTTACAAATTCCTTAATTCTCAGAAAATGAAATGGTTTCCAATTATAAAATTGTACAAAGTGCAGAAGAATCTATGTAAACCAGTAGAACTAATCACAATGTAATTCTACTAATTACTCTCTTTACATCACACATGACAAAAGCATAGCACAATAAAAGAAAATTCCTTTATTGAAGCTTAACTCCAACGTTCACAGGAAGACAATGTAGTTTTAACATGATCAATTATCTTTCCTCTTTCTGTCACTGTCATGCAGGGCATTTCTAACAGAATGGCATTTCTCTGGAATAAGTATGAAACTATGATAGGGATATCTGAAGGAATAAAAGTAAGAGTTACCTGTACTCCAGCCTGATGGTGATGCAGGCAGAAGGAAATGATGATGATGAACAAGTTGTCCTTTCTAACTCTGTATTCTCTCAGAGGCTCCCAAGGAAACACAGAAGAACATCCTTTCTGCATACTTTTATTCTTAAAGTTATGCCCCTCCTCTTGACCAAAGCAAAAAGAGGAAATTGTATGTTGAGAGCTGATACTAACAGATAGGAAACATGAGCTATGCGTTCCTGCATATGAAATGTTCTCTACTTCATATGCAGCAGAATCATGTTTGTAATCAGTATTTAGTGACTGAAAGGATAAACGTAAAAACATTTTGAGAAAACACTGCCAATATCTTTAGCTAAGATATAGTTTAATTAAAAGAAGTAATTGCTTAGAAGAGATGACTGAAACAGCTATATAAAACTATGAGGGTGTATAAAATAAATGGAGTGAGCAAGCTCTTCAGTTCCAAATTTTAATAATTTTCAGGAATTTGTCTTAGATAATTATTTATTAATCTTTCAGAGGAAATATTACTTTTGCTTTTTAATTGTGTCTATTGAAAGTTAATATATATTAGGAATGCCATAAGATAATCACATTTTCAGTGTGATTTTTTGGTGTTTACTGATCTACCCTTTAATCCACATGTTATGTTTACAATGAAAGTTGATGTCTTTCCACATTAGGTGGTTTCATTGCTATCATTTTCATGAGCCTTGGCTATCAAAGCCAAGCTCTTGCATGTGCCCAACAAGATATGGACCATGAACTACATGCTCAACTTTTGAGGGCTTACTCATTTGTTTGTTTGGTTGATTGCTTTCTGTTTTGGTTTTTGGGTTTGGTTTCATACAAGGTCATGTTGTATTATGAATAGTGTCCTGAAACTCATTATGCAGCCCAGGCTGGATTGAAATGCAAATTTCTCCTGTGTTCTCCTTCTCAGTTCTGTTATAGATATACATTACTGGAGCAGTTTATATTGTGTGTGTGTGTGTGTGTGTGTGTGTGTGTGTGTGTGTGTGTGTGTGATATGTGTATATTACATATGATGGCTTCATTATGGCATATATAAAAAAACTTACATGTGACAAGGCATGGCAACACACTGATGCAATCCGAAGAAACAGAGGCAGGAGAATATTCAGAAGAGCAAGGACAGCTTGGTCTACTACATATTGAGTTTCATAACACCTAGAGCTCTTAAATGAAACTTTATCTGTAACACATCCCTCCTCTCTGACTGCAGGTGTCATAAGGCAAGCCCATCAGTCCAGTTCATTGTTCTGCAATGCCTGTATGTAAGTATCACCTTTCACTTTGTGCCGTGGGTTGGCAAATGGTAGACCTTATCCAAATGATGACACCTGATGATGAGATGTCCAACCTTAAGAAATGTGCACTAAAACAAACTTCTTTTTATTGTAACTTACTCAGCCTGTTGCTCTGTTACAGCAACTGTATTGAACCAGCACACACAATGACATAGATTCTCTATTGTATCATATCAAATTGGGAATGGTGGTTATTATCGTGGACTTGAAAGATCAAGCAGAGATAAGACTTGGGCACATCTTCCAGAGATTATCTTGGCTAGATTTAGCTCTGAACAAGTCTGTGAAGGGTTATATTTGCTAGGTAATGGAGGTGGGAAGATCCATCCATTGTACCTGATGTCATTTTCCTACACTGGGATCCCAGACTATATAAAAGAAGAGAATAAGCTGAGTACAAATGCTCATTAATTGCTCTCTGTTTCTTGCTATGATGAAATGTGAATAGCTGCCTCAAGCTCCAGTTACAGTGTCTTCTTTACCATAAAGGACTATAAACTTGAACTGTGAGTGAAAATAAACACTGCATTCCCTATGCTGGCTTGTCTAGGTTTTATCATAACAGAAAAATAACCTAAGATGCTGGCAGCACAGGTGTTTTGTTTTGTTCTGGAATAGAGACTATAGGTGAAACCAAGGATCTGAGAAATTCACAACAGTGAGAAAAATACAACTGATGATCTCAGATCTTGGAATTGACATCAAACTCTTCACAGAAAGCTTAATGCTGTTGAGGCATTTTTCTGATTTCCATCCTTGATGAGAAGTTGTGGTCCTCAGGAGCAACACTGAGCAAGTGCAGATCACATGTGTTAGTGTTGTTTGTCTCCTCTCTCTTCAAGACTCTGATACACGCTCAACATCCTTTCCATCCTGTCTGTGACAGCGGACAACAGATATGGTGTCAACAGTGTGCTTGACAAATAAGGACAATAATGTGAACAGAAACTAAATACATAATGGAGACAAAATCATACCAATAACTGAAATACCAAATAGAGCAGCAGCTGCAAATTTTATTTTCTGTTTATTATGAAGCTCTGAGTTTCTGATAAAGAAAGTCTTCAAATGAAGATGATTATGTTAAAGATCAAGTCTTTTCATAACGATTTAATTGACACTCACACTGCAGTTCTATGAGCAAAGGACAGCAAACGAAAAGAAGTATGGAACTGAATTACAACCAGCTAACAACAGAGAAATGTGAAAAATTAAAAAAAAATATTTTTCATTTTCTTTAATTATTTTCTCTGATTTCACTTTTGTGCAAAACCACATATAGATAGACATGAATATATATTCCAGCATTTATTGATATTTCTGATTCATTGCTGCATAAACCACTTTTATTTGGGAGGTCACATCATGTACCTCTCACTTGTGGTGAGACATTACGAGGAAGCTGTGTACATCAGTGCCATCACACCTTCTAACCTCTGGTCACACCCTCAGCCCTCAGCAGTGACTTTATCATTTCACATCTGCAAGATCCTTTTCCTGCCCATGCAGAGCAGGTTTTTTTGGAACAGCTAACTGCCCGCTGAGAAGTTTGGTTTGCAACACTTCACCAGGAGGAACTGCCATTCTTAGTTAAAATCCCATCTCATGGAACTTCTCTTCAGAGGTCAAGCTTCACAGGTCTTAAAGCAAGAAAAGAAAATAAGAAAAAAAGCTCTATTTTGAGATTTCCTGTGCCCATATCCACCCAACATATTATGGCATTTACAATCAGAACTCTTCTAATATTCTGCCTTATCATGCCTACCAATACAGTGCTTTGGCATAGTGCTAGTGTGTCTTGCTGAGCCAGAAGCACTGAGGACAAAGAAATGAGAAAGGATGTTTTGGGACTTCAGTGATAGTAAAAAAAAAAAAAAAAGCCCACCCCCAAATTTTAAGACGAATATCTGGACCCTTTCCTATTGGGGAATAATATCCATACATAAGCTTTTTGTCTCTGTCCTCTCAGAGAAGAAACTCTAAAGAGTTCTCCAACTCCACAACTCCCGTTGTGGAGTCTGAAAGCTCAGCTCATCCTTCTCAAAGCATTTTTTTGTTACATTTTTTTTTCTTGATACATGGTCTGATATAGTTCAGGGTGGCCCAGAACTGACTATGTAGCTGAGACAGGCCCAGCATTCTGATTCTCCTCCCTCCAATTTGTAAGTTCTGAGGTTACAGTGTAAACCACTGGTTCAAGCCCTCACATCATTCTTTCACTTTGTGTAGTTTTTATTTTGATGAGATGTTTTATACTGGCTAGTTATCCAGTAAGTAGAAATTCAGCTATTTAAACAATCAAAGGGATCTGTGGTTCAACCTCCACCTTAGTTCCTCAAAGTAACTCTCACACATTATAAATGAAGACACAGGTTTCTAACAGTTTAATATGCAAATAATACTGACTACTATTCATATTCCTGATAAAAATGCTCACATACTGTGATGGAGGAGGGTCATCTGTCTATCTGTTGCATTCATTGGTTATTTAATAAAGAAAACTGCTTGGCCTGATAGGACAGAATTTAGATAGGTGGTGTAGACCAAACCAAATGCTGGGAAGAAGGGAAGAGAGAAGACACCATAGCTCTCCTCTCCAAGATGGACACAGGTTAAGATCCTTCCTGATAAGCCACCATTCTGAAAGCTTCTGCCGATGTTAAATTCTGTCCTTGTGCCTTTTTCCCTGTTCATCAGCTCCAATAATTTCCTCAATTATTTTAAATCTTTTTCCTATTGTCTTTTGTAAAGCCTGAATTTCCTGGCCTGTACATATTTCTAGTAATTTCTCTGGTCCTAGCCTCTGGTCCTCATTCTGCACATGTGATTCCAAGGTTTGAAGTTTCTCCTTTAAATATAACATCTCATTTTTGGACATTATTTGAATAGTGTGCAGATTGTCAGCCTGGAGAGATTGTTTATCTGCTAATTTATCATAACTTCTTAACAAATTTTGACTGTCAAATTCAACAGTATTAATTCTTTCAGATAACTTTTTAGTACTCTTAGATATGGATTCAATTTTGTTCGTCAAATTAATGTTATCTTTTTAATAGTATTAATTTTGTCTACTAACTTTTGATTTTCAATGGTATTAATCCTGTCAACTAGCTGTTCATTGTTTGTATCTAAAGACTGTATCATTGTTAAAAGTGCCATATTCTTTCTTAATGATAGAAATAGAGAAGAAAATTGAGTCCCAATTCCCAACAAATTGAATTATCACCTTAACCAAATATGCTTCACATAATACAATCCATTGTATTAGCAAAAAGGTTACTAAAAGTTTCAATATTAATGTAGTCTGACATATTGATTTATTAATTACCTGTTGTGTGATTTGATAAACTGTAATCTTTATTGATCAGCATATGTTGTGGTTGCAGAGATTTTACTAGAAGAAATGCAACCAATGATGACAGAAAGGGTCTTGGGCTGCTTCAGTTTCCGAGCCACTTTAGTTTTCTTCCTTGGTACTGGTCAAATACTGAGAAATATGTTTTGCTTGACAAATTAAAAGCAATTAAGTCAATTCCATACACAAAGCTAGAAAACCAGAACCCACAGGCAGGGAGCAGTAACAAGACCTTTCCATTTTGCCATGTGGCAAGGAACCACACCAGGGAACATGGCAGTCATGCGCGAACTTGGGAAATTTCCAAGCTTCACATGCAGTACACTCTGCTGTGGTGGGGCTCTACAAAAAACATCTTAAGTAAAAGAAAGCCAAACAGAGATGTAGGGAGACTGTCTGGGCCATGGACCAGCTAGGCTATTAGGCTGTCCACCTGATAGGCATGAAGTCTGAATCCATGTGATGGCCAAATGAAGATGGATGCTTAAAAAAAAATCCCATACTAACTCAGAATTGAGAAATATATGGTTATTTATTTAGGGGTAGACTCACAAATCAGAATCCTTTGCTTGAATGGAGATCAGAAACTGGATCCTGCAGCTGGAAAAAAGAGGCCTGAGGCATGCTCTACATTGGCATATATAGTACAAGAGGCCACACACAGGGGGCAGGTAACTGTTGCCTGAGGTTTCTGTCCTGTCTGGTTTCTGTCCTCCCATCAGGTCCCAGAACCATTTAGCCCCACAGAAATCACACAGAGCTCTATATTAATGACAAACTGATTGGCCCATTAGCTCACGCTTCTTATTAACTCTTATAATTTATGTTAACCCATTATTCTTATCTATGTTAGCCATTGGCTTGGTACCACTTCCATCAAGGTAATCAAATCTTCCTTCTTTGCTGTCTGGATAGAACTGGTGAGGAATGGACTTCCTCCCTCCCAGAATTCTCCTGTTCTAATTTTCCAGCCTGTACTTCCTGTCTGAATATTTTTAAAAAGGATTTTTTTTCCATTCCCTCCTTTCTTCATTTTATGTAGAACTCATTTTCTCACAGTCCAAATTCTACCTATATATTGTGGTTGCATCTTGTCAAGGGATGTTGTCTGTTACCGTAATCTTTCTCTAAGGTGTAGCCTAGCCTGGCCAGGGATATGTGTTGAACTATCTGAACATTAATATCATCAACTTCTACAGTTTGCGTTTCCCTTTCTTCCAGTGAGACAAGATTTAATCATTTTGAAGAAGGAGACTGTTAAGGAACTTGCAAGCAATTCAGAACATGAATAGATGATAACTTTAAGAAGGAAACTGTGCTCATACACAATATGTGTAATCTAATCATGATAAAAAAAATATGATTTATGGCTGGGCGTGGCTAACCCCTTTAATTACAGCATTAGGGAGGTATAGGCAGATAGATCTCTATTACTCTGAAGCCAACCCGGAATCCACAGTGAGTTCCAGGATATCCAGAGCTATATAGAAAGACTCTATCTCAAAAAATTATATAAGATTGCATGTAAGACTTGGTTTTAAAGGTAGAGTTATAAAAAAATAGTTACAGGCTGAGATACAGAAGAAAAGAAAGTATAGGCCTCCATGAGATGTTTATAGAACACGTTGCCACAATTGTAATCTACGTAAATTAAGTGTAGGCATAAACTGAGTTGACTATCACTCAGAGCTGTTTATTTAATATGGTGGCTCTTGGTCACCCACAGGCTCTGGGTACCTGGGATGTACCTGGTCTATATTTAGAGATTCCATAAACATGTAATACACACTGAAATTGAATTTGAATTTGATTTTAAAAAAGCATGCAAACTATCTCAACAATATTAAAAGTGACTGTATACAGAACTAATGATGTCTTAGTGCTTAGAAAAAATAATGTACAGTATCAGTTCATTTTAAGAATGGAATCGTTGAAAATATATGATACAGTTTTAGTCTGTTGAATAACTCCTTTATACCACAACATAGTCTTTAATGTGGTAGCACTAACAATTTCACAGGTAGTGGCCAAAACTCTTCATGAATGGTAAGTTTCCTATAAATAAAATACCCAAATATCCTCAGTGGTGCATTTTGGCATCTATCTAATAGAAATACCATTCATTCTGCAGTTTAATTTTTAATTATATCAAACAAAACAAACAAAACTTTTCAAGACTAAAGGACACTAAAATGATGATGTGGGAGTGTCATATATCAATCTGTTGATTTCATTGGTTAAGCAATAAAGAAACTGCTTGGCCCTGATAGGTTAAAACATAGGTGGGAGGAGTAAACAGAACAGAATGCTAGGAGGAAGAGGAAGTGAGCTCAGATACGCCATGCTTCCCTCTCCCGGGCAGTTGCAGGGATAGCTCTGCTCTCAGAGGCTCACGCGATGAAGCACCAACCCAGGATGGATGTAGGCTAGAATCTTCTGGTAAGCACACCTAGCGGTGCTACACAGATGAATAGAAATGGGCTAAATTAATATCTGATAATTAGCCTAGAAGAGGCTAGCTAGAAATGGACCAAGCAGTGTTTAAAAGAATACAGTGTCTGTGTAATTATTTCAAGGCATAAGCTAGCAGGCGGCCAGGGTGCTGGGGATGCAGCCCCGCCGCTCATATTACAACAAAATGACATCAGCACTGAATGCTTGTGAACCTGAACATAGAGGAAATACCCAGAGTGACATTATACAATCAGTGAATGAGTACGCAGATCCTTGATAAGAATAAATTACTGCATCAATGTTATATGTCCTGAGTGTGATCATTTGGATATGGTTGTATGAGATAAATTGTCCCTTGAACATATTTAGGAACATTTGGGACTCAATTTTATTTAGTTTGTTTGGTTCTATGACATAGGCTCTCACTGTATTCATTTTGGCCCCCAGCAATCATGTCTTAACCTCCTAATTGCTAAGATTACATGTGTAAGCCACTACGTCTAGCCATCTTCAATTATTACCACCATCCAATAAAACCTCAACAAATGATAGATGGATTAAAGAAGAGTGGGTAGAACAACTGATGTCTTAGATAAAATATAGTCAGCAGTTCCTTGAACTATCCTTGTAAATGTTCACCAAATTTGACCTTATATTTGATGGCCAAAAGAAATGTTTATACCAATGAATAAACATTTTACATGAAATAAAATACACAAAACAGAACAGAGATCAACTAACAACAAAGAAATTGAATCCCAAAACTATATTGCAGTTCTTAATTGCACTTTCAATCAAGATGACTTATGCTATTGATAATAAAACTCAGACTATTTGTTAGAGATCTGTATTTAGTCCTATGGGTATGTAAGAAAATAAAAAGTGTAGATTCTTCAGGGGCTTGGTGTAATGGGGTGTCCATGTATCTAAGAAGATGTTTAGTCCTCCAGGAAGAAAGGTGGCCTCTGCTCTGTCAAAACAGATTCAGAAGAATGTTTTCAACCTCTTCCACCACATCTCTCCATTTGCACAGAGGACAAAATCCTGGAATCAAAACACTTTTTCATAAGGAATCACAGATTATTACAGGAAGCAAATAAAAATCAACACTTCCCATTTTAACTTTACCTCTTTCTGGAGGGTGAATTGGGGAATTTATCCATTCTCATCTCACAGATACAGGGGTAAGAATCTTCACACTTAGTATCATCCAGTCTTGTTCTAGATAAAAATGCACATCTTCCAGGTTTAAGATTGAAATTTGCTATTTTCGAGTCACTAAAGAACAAAAACAATGCGCAATTTTTTAATTTTGAGCAGTCATAAAATATCATGGTTTTGAAAATTCTATATGAAGTACATATATGAAGCTATTATGGGAGCTATTACTATGTGGGAAAATGATCTGTACCCTGTCTCTTGTATTTTAAATGAATTCAGTTTGACTAGTAGTCAGGCAGGAAGTATAGGTGGGGAGACCAGGCAGGAAGCAGAGGTGGTGCACCAAGGATTCTAGGAATAGGAGAGAGCCAGTCTGCAGTCATCATCCATAGGCAGAGGAAGTAAGATGTGACAGCCTGGCTGAAAAAGGTACCAGGCCGTGTGGCTAACACAGACAAGAATTATGGGCTAATATAAGTTATAAGATTTAATAAGAGGCCTGAGGTAATAGACCAATCAGTTGATAATTAATGTAGATCTCTGTGTGATTTCTTTGGGACTGAATGATTGTGGGACAGGGTGGGGCAGAAACCTTGGTCAACATTACTCTACTATTCTATATGAAGAATGTGGAAACTATTGCTTATAATTTCCTCACTAAAATGTTTTATATCTAAGCCCATTAATAAGAAATGGTCTCTTGGTCATACCAAAATTTCTCTTATCCCACGCTCACAGCTTTTGGTCATGGCCAAACCTGTTTTTCAATATTTCCAAGTAATTATTTTATGCTAAATCTGCTTTCCCACTTACATTTTGTCAGTTAATGGCTATGTAGAAACAATAGTGTGTAGCTCATGGAACAATTCCTCATTTGCTTGTGCCTTAGGGAAAAAAGGATATTTGTAGTACAGTCCCAGATGAGGGTTTGTAACTAATGTTTTGGGCTGTTTTTCCTTTCTTTTCCCCCCACCTCCCACCACTTCACAGTTAACAGGCCTTCACTGAAGCATAGTCATCCACTGAATTCTCTGCAAGTATAGGACCCTGATTTCTGCAGGATAATAGATTAGAGTCCATAAAGAAGAAAATATTAAATGCTGCAAAATAAAAAAATATTAAAAAATTAGAAAACATATTAATTAGTAAATGTGCTAAAATGGAAAGACTGTGAGTTCCAGTTCAACCTGGGTTATGTAGTAAAACCAGAAGTCAAAAAGAAATTAATTATAGAATCCTGTAAAAAACCTGCAGAAATCAGATTCCTACTCAGGCTGAGTGATGAAGGAGGGTCATCGGTCTATGTGTTGCTGTCATTGATTAATAAAGAAACTGCCTTGGCCCTTTGATAGGACAGAAAATTAGGGAGGCAGAGTAAACAGAACAGAATGCTGGTAGGAAGAAGGCAAGGAGGTAGACAATATAGCTCTCTTCTTCAAGATGGATGCAGGCTAAGATCTTTCCCAATAAGCCACCACCTCGTGGTGCTACACAGATTACAAAATATGGGTTAAAGCAAGATGTGAGAATTAGCCAGTAAGAGGCTGAAACTAATGAGCCAGGCAGTGTTTAAATGAATACAGTTCAAGTGTAATTATTTTGGTTAAAGTTAGCCCATGGCCGGGAGCTGGGCAGTGGGAAGTGGCCTGCAGATCCTGCTACAGCTGAAGTTTTAGCAGGCATTTGAAACAATTTTATACATTAACTACAAAAAAGTCAAGTGAAAGTTTTAAATATTCGTGCTCATTGTATCTGTCAGCATGATCCAGTCATATCATGTCTTTCATATTCTGTAGTCCTTGCAAGGTTTGAAGAATGCCTATCCATCTGAAATACATTCTGTACTTCTAGAAATCCTAACTAACATGACTACAAGCTTGACTATTATAGATGATTATCTATTAACTTATATTTCTTAATTATACATTACATTTTTAAATGAGCTACACAAACCCAATAACTTAATGAAGATCAGAAATACATATATATATATATATACAACAAAATTGACCTTACCTTTATATCAATAAACCAAGATTCATAGCAATGCAAATTATTCATATCTATATTAAACAGGGACTGTGCTTCCATTTTTCAGCTGCCCAGACACAATCATTTAGAAACTATATTAATTGTAATACTGTTTGGTAATATCTTAGAATTCTCACTACTTAACACTATTAAATTAATGCATTTCTATTAGTCTGTGTATTGCTACAAGTCTGTGGGTTACTGGTACAATATGTTACTCCTTCAGCAGCTACATGGCATCTCTCTCTAACTGTTCAGATTTGCCACATGGCTTTACTCTGCTAAGCCATTGACCAAAATATCGTTACTCATTAACTAATAAAAGTAACACAAATCACATGCAATCCTCGCAATTCATGTACCACTATTAGTGTGTGAGTGTTCAGGAAACTCACAGGTTAGATGGGCCATTGTCAATCCATTGCCATTTGCTTTTTCCTGTATCATACGATAATCCAATCCAGTAATTGTTTGAATTCACTTTGACCTGAAGGAACTTCTATAAAGGAAAAGACAAATCTTATGATAGTATTTCATTCTGTTTCAGAGAAAGAACAACATAACACATCTTAGCTATTTTTATGTCAGTTCTCTGTTGTCCTTTACTCCAATCTATCAAAGTTCATTTTTAAAGTAATTTCTCACTAGTGGCTAATTTGTATCAAAAATAATCAATTCCACTATTTATTTTAAAAAGAAATCAGGTATCTAAAGATACTGGATTCATGAAATGATTTGTGACTGTGTTTCTTAGAGAAAGTCTCACTGTGGAGCCAAGGCTGTGCTTGAATTCACAATCTCCCTTATTCAGACCCCTAAATGAACATGGCATACCAGCTTCATATGTAATTCTGAAATTATGAAAGTATTCAAATGCACCTTTAACTATAGTCAGTTCTGCCAATGAGACATGTTTGTATAAGGGTGGCCTAGAATTTATAGGAGTGGCTAAAGCTGGTCCACTCTAAAATCCTAAATTACCTGGAGTACCAGGATCCACTTGCTGGACCACCAGGACCCCAGAGACCTAGGATAGAATCAGACAACTGAAGAAAAAAATGTCAATGAAATGATGCCTAATAATATTTACAATACTCAAAGATTGATTCCTAGCCCAATTGTCTTCAAAAAGGCTTCATCCAGCAACTGATGGAAATAGAGACTGAGACCCTCAGCCAAACTTTAGACCAAGCTCCTGATAATGAGAGGGGGAGAGAGGAATCAAAGGGATCAAGGACTTCAGAAGAGAAGTTACAGAATCAACAACCCCATACCAATGAAAGCTCCCTGTGTCTGAAGAGACAACAAGGAAGCCTGCATAAGACTTACTGGACTCTTCATATGGCGCAGTTGTGTAGCTTGGTCTTCTTGTGGGACATCTAACTGTGGGAGCACAGGCTGTCTCTAACTCTGTTGTTGGGCTTTGAGACTCTATTCTTTATATTGGTTCACATTTACCAGTCTTAATACAGAGGGGACAGGGTTGTTTGTTCTTACTGCAATTTGGTATGACAATTTGTTTTTTGTTGATTCCATGGGAAGGCTACTTTTTGCTGAACAGAAATGGAGTGGTAAAGGATTGGAGGTAGGAGTCATGAGGAAATGCCAGGAGAGGTTTGGAGGAGAGGGAGGAGGAAAAAGAGCAAACAGGAAATAAAGTAAAAAATAAATTTTCTAAAGTTGAAATATTCTGTGTGAAAATCTGTGCATTAAAATCCATGCTTCAGTGACAAAGCCATTACTGAGGAAGAATTTGAAGAAGAAAGAGGAAGATATTTGGAAACATTTAATGTACTTTATATGTGACATCCCAATGGAATGATTACTAAAATTACTAAATATATTGGCATAATATTTTTAGATTATCTACATTTTCTATGTCAAACGGAAAATTATGCAATTACATTAAATTGAAACACATTTTGTACTGTAATTATTCAAACTTGTAAATAAATTGCAAAGGTTTCAAGCTGATCCTGCAACTGTTTCTCCAGAAAAATATCCTCTTTGTATTTGGATACATTTCTTTAGTAATAAATATAAACAGAAAATATCAGGTCCTTGATCATTTTGTTCTTTTAAATACACATTTTCAGAGATAGATATCATTTTTGAAATAGGAGAATTTTATGAAGTAAATATTATGGCCAGATTCAATGAAAATCACAATGGGACTATCTAGTTAAAAGCAATATTACGTGAATCTTATATAATTTCCATTTTGAAAATGGACCCATTTTGGGGAACCTTCCCCAACCTCCTCGCTTATGGATGACCCTGGGTAGGTCCACAAAAATCAGGACACAGGGGATGCAGAGTAGGAGATACAATTGCATATTTTAATGCAAAACCAGTGTTCTTTTTATAATACTAAAATCATGATTCAAACTAGGTTCCCATAATATATGAAAATAGTTTCATAGAATAATCACTTAGTTGCAACTAATTTCGAGGGCTTTGTGCCCTAGCTAATCTAATCAAAAAGCTCGGTGTTATGGGAATAAATCTTGTTGTAATCTAATATATAAAAACACCTCATCAGAAGACAAACCACAACCTAAGCAGAGCCTTTGAACTATAGTGCACATCTGTGCTCTCAAGGACTGATCATTGGCAAGGCACTCTACTGATGGGAGAGGTTTGCCTCCTCCCAACTTGGTTTGCCAAGCCTATCGGCAAGAATGCTATGTCTCCCTTGCACAGAGTTTCTATGCAGTTCAAAACCAGCCCTCTACAGGTCCAGAAGTCAGTTAATTTCTCTATTGTCATCTAACTGCTCACTACAGACACTTCTGGACTCCAAGGAGCAAGCACTAAGTTCCAGGTAATGGTGTAACTGTCTCTGGAAATAAGGGAATCAGTCACTGGATATTCTATACCAAAGGGTTAGACTTATTCAGGGAAAACATGGTTTTCTGAGAAATTTTCTTGCAGATTCTTGAGAAAGGGAGGAGATTGCAAAGACGCGGTTGTCTCTCAATATCGAGTCTCTTTGTCAAAGATGCTGTGTCCTGACACTAAACCAGGAGCAGGATTGAGTTTCTGGGGAGACTTTTACTGCAGTTTTTCACACATTACTGGCAAACAATATACAATCTTGAAGGTTTTACTTTCAAAACCATGCGTGCACTTGGTATGCCACTACTCAAGGGTTAGAGACACACTCCCAGAGAATAGAAAAGCATGGAAGAGTCTACAGTACCAGTTCATCGTCATCGTCTATCTTCAAAAGGGACAAGCTACAGTCCTGGCAGGTCCGTTTACATCCACTCCAGTCTTGTTTGTCCATGATGAAATAACATTTTATGCCAGAGCAGAACCAGTATCCGTCTACATATTTGCCTACAAGAAAGAAGGTAATTAAACTTCTTAATTTCTGGCATGATGTTATTAGAGAAATGCATTTATTAAGCCTCTATAACTAAGAAAATTATCACAGATCTCAGAAATTGAGATTCTAGGATGCAGAGAGACTCCTGTACACACATGCTCTATGCTATTCATAACAGTAGAGATTTGGAAATAGCTGATGTGTCCATTGTGGATAAATCAGTACAAAAAATATAGCAGATACACAAAAAGGAATACTGTTTATCCTTTAAAGAGAAGTAAATCTGCTGGGCATGATGGCTTTTGCCCATGACCTGAGCACTCCAGAGAGTGAGATAGGAGGGTTGCCAGCAGTTTGAGGCCAGAATAGGCCAAGTAGTGATAACTTCCATACTAGCCTTGTCTATAAAGTAGATTCTAAGACAACCTTGGCTACAGAATGAGCCTCAACACCTCAACATCACCAATAGAAACGAGGACCACCGTGACAAACATTGATGAACTTAAGCATGGTGTGCAAAATGAAACAAGCCAGACCAAGGACAAAACTTAATGACTCAACTCAGATGACCAAGGACAAAACTTTATGACTCAACTCAGATGAAGGTTCTAACACAGTCCAAGTCTAAGAAACAGAGCTGTGTAGTAAGGAGCTTGAGGGTGGAGAACAAACACTGCCTGTTCAAAGGCTGTTGCAAACTTGACAGTATTCTAGATTAATATTAATGCCCTGTGCCCACACTGGTTCAGACATACTGTATATTTAGAGTTGTGCTGTGTTCTATTATCAATGCTCTTATTTTAAGAGATATGAGACATATGAGAAAGCTTGTGAAGGTGATAGTCTGTTCTGATTATGTTGATTTCATTCAGTGGTACAAGCAAATACCCAAACATGTCAGGTGGAAAACAATGAAATGTGTGCAGTTTGTGTAACAACACCTCAGTCCAACTGTTTTGTTTATTGAGGGTATGGGGCTGGCCATGTTCTATTAACGAACTTTTAACTTTAATCTTTGTTTTCCTATAAAGAGGTATCATTCCAGGCTGGCCAAGAATTTGTTGGGCTGCATAGATTGTTCTCAAATTTACAATCTTCTTTCCTCAACCTCCTAAGTACCGGAATTACAGTGTTAAAATGCCATTTATAGATATTTTTTAAAAAATTAATGGCACAAAATATTTTCATGGGTCTGAAATACTTCAAAGTTTTTTGGACTTTAATTTTCCTGACATATATTTAATAATGTAGCAATTTTAAAGATATCATTAGCACTTTCATAATAAAATAGTCAACACTTTCTATTAAAGTACAGTACATACCTCTGAGCTGTATGCAGTCGAAAACTTTAGTTTCCCCACAGCATCTGTTCTTTTCTCTGTTGGAGGAGTCAAGTTCCTTCTGACGTTTGAAGTCATCAAGCTCTCTAGACTTATTTCTCAGCATTTCTTTCATTAAGAAGTTGTTACTTTGCAGGGTGTAATACTGTTGAGTGAAGTTGTTTAGAGTTTTCTGCAGTCCATGGTTGTTTCTACTATACTGAAAAACTAAAATTAATAGCAGACATAAAATCAAAAAATGATTATATGAAATAAGTATTAAAATCTAAGATTAGGGAAAAAATTTCAATTTTATACCAACATATGTCATTTCTTTAATTTGTACTTAAAGTTTAGAAATTAAAGTATCAATTGATTATAGAAATTGAAATATCAATTTCTCTATGTCAGTAGATAGAATTTTAACAGCAATTTCAATATAAAGTAAATGATAGGTACAGTTGAAGGAAACTGTAATGGAAGTACTATACCTACCAATTAATTCACATTTTAACACCATAAAACTTACAAATAAATAACTAAGTAAATATTCAGTGGACACTTAATACAGCATGAAAATGTGAATGAATAAACATTAAGAAATAATACAATTTTGACTGGAGGCTTTGGAAACCATAATATCCATATATGTAGTTGTGTTTTAGCCCAGACTTAGATTTAGTTTCTCTAAACATTTGACAAAATCCAAAAACGTTCAGGCTTTAATGTCTCTGTACAAAGGAGGTATTTTCATCTAACAATATCCTTAACATACACAGAGTAAAATAAATAAATGCTCATCATTTCTTTTGCATATCTGTATCTCACAGAATGCTTACATTTACAGAAGATTCACAATCACCTGAGTTCAGAAGACTGACTATCACAAAGTTCTCAGAAGGCAAACTGCCACCACATCGTCAAAAGGAATATGACCAAAACTGAGACAAAATGAGGCAGCTCCTAACAGACACAAAGTTAATAGGATAGGTATGTAAGAGAACAGGATGTGTAGCATCAGAAAGAAAACACCTAGAGTCCAGAACTATGTGGCATATCCCCGATTATAGACAGGACAATGAACAGTGTTAACGGCGTAAGTAGTGTCTAAAGTTATTACTTAGGCAGAAAGGCAAAGAAGATATTTATCAGTTACTCACCATATGCCACCAACACTGCGACGGCCACCAGAAGGGAACAAAGGATTCCCAGAGTTATTGCCATGAGGTACCTGGGGACTAAACACTCTTAAATGAACAAAACAAAGCAAGAAATTTATCACCATGAAAAGAGCACTTCCTTTTTGCTAATTATAATTTTGCATAACATGGCCTCTAAAAATTTTAAAGAAGTCCATCTTACAATCTGACTAAACATGTGTTTTTTAAATTGTAGATCTCTCCCTAAAATTTACCTACTGTAGAGATGTTTCATTTGTAAAGTTTCACAGGATTTCAAACTTTTTTCATCTTTAGATTTGTATTCTCAGTCCTCTGTCTCAGCTTAGAAGTAGCTGAATGGCAGACATGTGCCCCTCTTCCCCCAGTTCTACAGAATCAAAAGTGCATCCTTCAAAAACACTGGAAAAACAGACACAGTCCAAATAGAAGACCACAAACTGGAGTGTGCAGTCCATCAAGTGAGCATAACTGAGGATGAGGAGAAAGGAAAAAGGGTCGATGTTCTTGAGAACTGTAGAGAATCTTGGTAGAATGTAGCTGACCTGTACACAGGCTCATTCTTAAAGGAGCCTAAATTTAACTATCTTCTTTCTTTCCTTAAATCCAATCTTCTTCAGACAATACTGAATAGTTTTGTGTATCTGAAACATGAAAGCCATGCATCTGATTATCACCTGGTAAAAGAAGTAAAGACTCTCAGCTGGAGTCAATTTGTGACTGTGTGAGCAGACTGTGTACAGAAAAAAATAATAAAAATAATAGAGCAGGGCAGTGGTGGCTCATGTCTTTAATTCCAGCACTCAGGAGACAGAGGCAGGTGGATCTCTGTGAGTTCGAGGCCAGCCTGGTATACGGAGTGAGTTCCAGTGGAGGCTTCAGAACTACAGAAAAACCCTGTCTTGAAAAACAACAACAAAAGAAAATAAAGACTCCAGCTTTTTATTAATAAATTTAATTTTCTTCAACATTTCTTTAAATGCAGTATGATTTAGTCCTCCCCATCCTTACTACCCTCTCCTATCCTCCTCTTCCTCTGCAGCCTTCTTCTCAAGACACTTTCTCATCTGATGGACGATTGTTGCTGTTTCATTGCATTAGATCTTCGGAATACTTCAGACAGTTAAAGCCCCTTATGCTAGAGTGAAAGTATCATTTCTAATGTATGTTTTTCATTTCTTTGAGATTTGTTACTCTAGATCATTTGGTTTTCTTCAGACTGCAATTTGTCTGCTATTTTTAAAAGGTTCAGAATTTTTCTTAACTAAACTAAATTAAATCCTCCTAATTTTTTTTTTCAAATTTGACAGAAAGTATTAACTTCTCACTACTTGATTCTCAAGAACATTTGCTTATAGACTCCTATTGTTCTACTTCGCCAATAACTAATTAGAAGTAGAGGTAGAGTTGCATTTTTTCACTCTATCTGCTTTTTAATTTTAAAATTGACTACTTAATTTTTTAACTTATTTCTGAACAGTTTTGTACATGATGATTTTCCCACTCCCACTCACCTCCCTTCTACTCTTGTGTAGCTCAACTGTTTTCAGTTGAAGCCAGTAGGATATTGTTTTTCAAATGTCAAAAGTTACAAGGCATAAAATCCAAGTGAATTTAAATGTTTAAAACATTTACCTCTGTGAAAAGTTTCTCTCGGCTCTTGACTCTCGTCCTTCCTTTCTCTGGTCCGCAATTCTGAAGACTTACCAAATCTCACAGTTGTGTAAGTGATCGCTTCATCACTCATCTTGATCGTAAGTAAAGTATGCTTTGCTTTAAAACTCAACCTTGAGTGATTTCTAAAGAAAAAGGTAAAATTTCCACCATTAGGAAGAAACCTGGATCTTTGCAGAGTGATAAGAAGGGATAGGATCTGATTAACTTCTATAGCAATCCAAACATCATAACCTTAAATTCCACTAGAGGTGAGAAGGCTTTGAAGATTTCTACTAAAGTCATTTATATTGCTATTAGTCACAGTAATTATTATCATAAAATACAGAATAAGTTTAAAATATACTAATAAGTTATTGTAATATTGGCACAGCCTATGTGTTCAAAATATTCAACAAATATAGAAATGTTAAGAAAAATTGGTACCACTGGAAAAAATTATTGAAAAACTTTAACACTAACAATTCAAAGAACAAAATGTCAAAGCTTTCTGAATAAATAATTGTTTTTAGCTGTGAGCCTAGACTTTAAACTCAGGACCTTTCCTTGGCACTTAGCCCCCTTTTGGTAATCTGTTCCCCATGCTGGGTTACCAGTCCATTTCTCAAAGACATAAGGGGAGTAACCTGGTCTAGCCTCAACTGATGAGCCATGCTTTATGCAAGCCTATGGGAGGCCTGTCCTTTTCTGAATGGAGAGGGAGGAGGAGTGGATGTGGTGGTAGGATGGGAAAGGGGAGAGGAAGGAGGGGAAACTGATTGGTATCCAAAATAAAAAAAAAACCCAATAATTAAAAAAAACATATTAAATTTTTCTTTAAATTTAGTTACATATTTTGATAAACACACAAGTATAAAGATGTTCTTACAGTTTTTTAAATTCTACATGATTCTCAGAGTCTCCCAAAAACCACGTTAAAAACAGTATTTAAAGATTAATCCTGAAGATGATTAAGATTTTGGGCTACAAGACACATATTTTTTTGGGGGGGGGTGTTAAAGCCCAAACCTGAACTGTCCAACTTCTCCACCCAGCCACAGTCTACACATTCATCTCCAGGATCAGACCTGGTAAATGCAAGAAAGTAGAGATGATCCTACTGAGCAGGGTAACCCAGATCCAGAAAAACAAAGGCCAGAAGGTCTTTCCTATCTGCGGCTCCTGTCTGAAAGTCTTCAGACATGCTACAAAACCTGGAGAAACTGCAGCAACCAGGAAGGTGGAAAGGGGCATTGGAAGGGTGGTGTGTTGCACCAATAGAGAGAAGCGTAGCAGGATAAAACCTGGAGTTTAAATATCAAATCATTTCATGTACACAATAATTTCACATGTTATATTCCAGTATATAATGTTTCCGGAAAAGCCTACGTGAAAATAAATTTTGTCATTATGCTGTAGTCGTTAATGTCCATAATGGATTCAATTCTCTCACTCCACTTTTATGTTTGTTTTAAGGATATAACTCAGGCAGTCAGTCAGTCAGGCATGTGTAGCGTATTTTACACATGGAGCCATCTTACCTGGCTCCTATTATGACTTCTTCAAGATTAATAATATATAAATATTTGATGCAGTTAAAGAGTAATAAACTCCATAGATCCCTCCACCTTGTTTTCTTAGCACACAGAAGTCTCTTCTCATTCAGAAAGAAAATAACTAGTGCTGAACTCCAGTTTTCACATACCGCCAGAGTCAACCAGATCTAACCCAGACAATAGGGCTTCCCAATCAATCCCGCTCTCAAGTCAAACCATGTGAAATTCTCTAGAGTACAAAAGATCATGTGATAGAAATAAAACAAAAGCAGCAGTTACCTTTGATTCTGATGAAGTAAACCAAGCCCTGCAAGTGAGGGACAAGTTGAACTTTCCTCCCCGGCCAGGTCCTCTCAGAGGTCCAAGAGAAAAGGCAGAACTGAATAGCCTCTGAATGCTACTCCAGCTCATGATTGTCAGCCCCTCCTCCTTACAGAAACTGCAAAGAGGAAACTGCATGATGAAAGCTGATGCTGACCGAAAGGAAAGAACCATCATATCATGACAGATGCTGCAAATCATGTACATAATCAATATTTGAAAGCTAAGGTGAACATACCTGTGAGGAAGTGAAACCAGTGTCCTTAGGAAAACCAGTAGTAGAGAGAAGTGACTGACATTCCCCCACTCTTAATTTTCTAGCAGGCTGTTGGAAATTTTCCCTTTTGTTACTATTGGAAAAGAAAACGCATTTCTTGTTTTTGAATTATGTTTATTATAGCTAAAATGTATTTTAAGATTCCTTTAAAGCGCTCACTTTAAAATCACTCCGCTGTGAAACTCTTGCTGTATATTCTTTTTACTTTTCATTCATAGTGAATGTTTACTGGGAATGTTGATGTCATTCTGTATGGAGGAGTTTTTTTTTTGTTTGTTTGTTTTATTTTTTTTTGCTTTTTTTGTTTGTTTGTTTGTTTGTTTTCTGACTCTTTGAGACAGGCTTTCTCTGTGTAACTGTTCTAGCGGTCCTGGAACTCACTTTGGTTTTTTTTGGTGTTTGATTCTTTCTTTTTTCTTTTCGGTTTTTCGAGACAGAGTTTCTCTGTAGCTTTGGAGCCTATCCTGGAACTAACTCTTGTAGACCAGGCTGGCATCAAACTCACAGAGATCCACCTACCTCTGCCTCCCGAGGGCTGGGATTAAAGGTGTGGGCCACCACAGCCACACCTGGAACTCACTTGGTAAACCAGGCTGGCCTTGAACTCACAAAGATTCAACTGCCTCTAACTCTGGGATTAAAGGCACGTGTCACAGCTTCCAGGCCCATCCAGAGAAGTTTTATTCATGGTACTGAGACGTCAAATCTAAGACACTGAGCACGCTCAGCAAATGTTTTATCACTCAGCTATATACATAGGCTCTTTTGTTTTGTTTTGTTTGTTTTTTGATTGGTTAATTGTTTCGTTGTATTTTTTTGAGACACTTGTTATATTCATGATATGTAGCACAGTCTGACCTCAAATTCATAGTACTTAGGTTTGTCTCTTCACTGCTGGGATTATATTGCATAATACTGTACCAATTTATACCATGTTTTTGATTTATATTTTCTAATAATCAGTTCCCATTTCTACATTTCATAAACATTGATATACAAGATTTTAAAGCAATATACAATTTTCAATCAGTTGTACATGGCATAAATTAATTAGAAATATCTACTGCTGAACATTCATGTTGTTTTATAATAGTTTGTTGTTAGTTCAAAAACTACATGTGATATACTTTAAAACATACTCAGACATTTTATGCATGAAGTCAAGGAATTAAAGTAGATATACATTTAAGGAACTCTGGTATAGATTATAATACTCCCTCTTGTTAACTTATATAGTCTACCATTTGGTATACACAAATATTCACAATTGATAATTGATAATTTTAGAGATGAGATAAGGTGGATTTTTCTTCTATGTTAGTTTTGCTTATGGTTTTGTGAATGATGATTTCTGGAAAGAAACTGTGTCAGCAAAGATAAATGCTGATTAAAATTACAATGCAATAGAGAAGTTGGGACGTTGTAGATTTAGAGGCTATTTACCTTATCACAGGCTATCTTTAGCCCCTAAGTAGCCTTGTTTGCCCACTGTGTCAGAACTAACATCCTATGACAATAGATAAAAAATCCTTTTAATGCTATCAGCTTAGCAGACCACTAACTCCACCAACCTGAAAGCAAGGAACTTCATCTGATGACCTGTAGAAAAGCTTCTATCTTTCTGTAACCACATCTCTGATGTATCCACCAATGTATGCTGAATTTGCCTTGATATATCACTTTCTCTGTTCTGATTTATTTAATGACACAAAGGAACTAACTCTGGATGTATAAATAAAGCCTTCCAGAATACTCAGAATGTAGATTCAATGTGAACTCAGAAGGGCCTGCATTTTAGTTTGCCACAAGCATGAGATTGTACCTGGAGAGACATGAGTGAAAACACCAACAAGTACTCTGACTTCAGATCAATTCGATCATTCACAGTTTTGACTACAGCAATAGAGAAGAACAACTTCTTTTCAGGGTTGTTGTGATTATTTAACAAGATATTAAAATATTTTTTTTGTTTAGTTTTCTTTGAGGCAGAGTCTCTCTATGTAATACTGGCTGGCCTGAAATTTGCTATGTAGAACTGGCTGTCGTCAAAATCATAGTGATTGCCTGCCTCTGTTTAAAAGTGTTGGGATTAAAGGTATGAGCCACCACATCAGCTTCACAAATAAAAATTTTAATCATAACCTGGAAATGGATAGGATGCTTTCATTCAACATGAAACATTATATTTAAAGCCCAAAATTCCATTTGTTCCTTACCACATAAATTTGAGCAAAACACTGAATCCTCAAACCAGTTTTTTTCACATGGTTATCAAGAGAGTGTGTCATCTACTCTCTAGGGTTGGAAAAACTGCCATCAGAAATATAGATAGAGGCACTAAGATTTCCAAAGAACATTTTTTAGGCTTTCTAGCCTGTGGAAACTTCTCTAAGCCACAGTATGGTCTAGGTTTTCTACCTGACTTGTCAAAGAGTGAAGGTGTTTGGAAGAACAGGGTTGGAAGGACAGATGAGCTAAAGAGAGGCACTGAGAGATCCACTGCTACTCTAGGAAATCCATGTTGTTGTCATCAGATCCAGGCATTTGTGTCACATTCCCATGGAAATGTTAATGGTGTTGAGACATATTTCCATCCTTGTCTCTGCTGCGAGGTCGTCATACCGATTACTGGGACTAACCACATGCAGGGCATGTTTCTTTATGTTTTCTACATATATTCTAACATTAAGCAAAGTCTATGAGCAAGAACATTACATCTGTTTTGTTCATTATTATGACTGAAGCATGAACAGGAGATGCCTACCAGTGTGGTTGATGAAGGAGTCAGCTAACAATAACTGAACACAGAGTGGGCAATTTTTTGATTGTGGACATTGACAGGAGGAGGCTAAGTCAAAGTTCTGCAGTTACCTCTGAGTTATGGACAAATAAGCTCTGAATTTCTAGGAAAAAAAGGTAAAGTGTTAGTAAGCACAATTT